AGTAAGCCAGTTAAGAGCAGGGGCTTGTGAGGTCAGATTCCTGCTTTAACTGTAGGTTTTGCCATTTCCTGTCAGTCTGACCTCAAGCAACTTACTTTCTCTCAATTTCTTTAACATTGGGCTAGCAATATTTCCTAGTGTTGTTGTAGGAATAATTAGATAAAATATAAGTACATTACCTGGTATTTAAGTAACATTTGCTGAGAACTATTGTTTTGTGGGATGTTTCATTTGACAACTCCATTTTTATGGCTTTTTGGAGACAAGTTTTCTTATGTAAGATATGAGAAAACTTTGGGGTCTGTTAAGAAACCCATCAACTATTTTTTCAACTGACATTCAGTTTAATAAAATTCTTCAAAACTTAGTTCTTCTTGAGCCTTTAGGCTCCATATCTGCATCATTTTATTCATAATTCCAATTTGAACATTTAGGAATATATTTTCTTTGATGGATGTTAAGCTTCTATCTTTAACAGATTAAATTCTTTTAAACATTAAAACCCATGTTTAAGCTTAGATAAGTTCTTAATTTTTAAACCCACAAATAAACTGAGATAAGTTCTGTTAATTTTGAAACTATATTTACACATTTAATATATCTTATCACCTTAAGCACTACAAATGCATAGGTAGGTGGACTTGCAAATCTGGTCAACAGCACATGTAAGCTCTTTGACTTCATGGTCAGTGGCCTTGCAAATTAACCTTGCCTCTGGTCAGAACTGCTGATGGAGTCTCATGGGAGTGGCCCTTCACATTTTCACCTTCTTCTGTATCCTGAGTATCTGTCACATGGCCCCTTTCCAGTTTTGTTTGTTTGTTTTAATCAAACCATGACCTGTGAATGAATGAATTATTGAAATCTTACATTTTCTATTTCAATTAAAGTTTCTTCTTAGTTGTATTCTATATTCATTTCTAGTACTTAAATCTCTGTCTTGCAGTTTTATAGTCATTACACAGGTTGATTATCCATTATCTGAAATGATTGGGATCAGAAGTGTTTCCAATTTGGGGGTTTAGAGATTTGGGAATATTTGTGTGCGTGCGTGTGTGTGTGTGTGTGTGTGTGTGTGTGTGTGTGTGCGTGTGTATGAGAGAGAAAGAGAAAGAGAGATCTTTGAGATAGAACCCAAGTCAACATGTGCCTGATATACATAGCCTAAAGATAATTTTATACAATAGTTTTAATAATTTTATACATGAAAACAAAGTTTGTGTTCATTGAACCACCAGGCTTGTGCAGTATCTTATTGGCACTCAAAAGGAATTTAGATTTCAGAGTGTTTCAGATTTTGGATGTGCAGCCTGTTTTACCACCTGGAACTTCACAATATGAAGGTAACTGTAATTTGTTGGACTAATCCCATCTCAACTACTTGGATTTTTCCGATTTTCTCCTATAAGCAACTATTAAAAATTATTGTAGAAATATTTTTTGTACGTTTATTTCCTTGGGAAAAACTTACAAAAGAGGACCACAGGGTAAAGGTGCTGCACACCTAAATTTAGTTATGTTTTGTGTCTAGTAGTGCAAATGTGTTGTTCCTATTTTTATTGATGAAACTTAAAACGTTTGTCAAATTAAAGGAAACACACTCCTGGGATTATTAAAAGTAATGACTAATGTTAATATCTCAGCCTCCCTCCTGTGAAATATTGTATAGCTTTGTGTTTTCTTTGATCTTAGTGTTAATTGTTATAGCTTTCTTGTTATAGCTCTAAACATACCCTTTTAATTACTAGGACTTGAGGGCATTATTTATTTTTTTTAGCAATTTCTTTAAAAAAATTTTTTTTTAGTTGTTGATAGACTTTTATTTTATTTATTTATTTTTATGTGGTGCTGAGATTTGAACCCAGTGCCTCATACACGCCAGGCAAGTGTGCTATCACTGAGCCACAGCCCCAGCAATTCTTTTTATTTTAGAGATTTTTAAAGTGACATTCTCTTTGTTGATTTATTTATCTTACAGTAGAATGCATTTTGACATATTGTACACAAATGGAGCA